TAGATTTCTAATGTGATTCCTTTGTGGTCAGAGAACATATTTTGTATGACTTGAATCTTTTTAAATTTGTTGAGACTTGTTTCATGGCACAGGATGTGGTCTATTTTGGTAAATGTTCTGGGTGCACTTGAGAAAGTGTGTCTGCTTTTTTGTTGTTCTTTTGGGCAAGAGAGTAAATCTGTTTCCTGTTTCCCCTTCTTGCCTTAAAGCAGAATCTGGGGCAGAGATACCCACTGGAGGCAAAGTCTTGCAAGAGCTGAGCAGCTCAGTTTGGTGCTTAGTTCCAGTGGTAACACCAAGAACCAAGGATCTGAAATTGAACGGGCAGCTGATGGGCTCCTTCAGGACCTGTGCTCTGGTCAGTGACACAGGGGGATTGTGGGGGAGGGGCAATACCCAATCAACCACCCCAAATAAACACAAATAAACAGCTAAGAGGAAAACAGCAGGCTTGTTGTGCAAACACAGGTCAAGACAAATCCCCAGTTGGGGAACTGTGAATAAGGACAGTACAGATGATATTAGGGAAATTGTTATTAATTTTGTTAGGTATCTGAGTAATGGCTATGCAGAACAATGTGGATTTTTTTTTTAATTTTATTTATTTATTTGACAGAGAGAGAGATAGCGAGAGCAGGAACACAAGCAGGGGGAGTGGGAGAGCGAGAAGCAGGCTTCCTGCCGAGCAGGGAGCCCAATGTGGGACTTGATCCCAGGACCCTGGGATCATGACCTGAGCCGAAGGCAGAGGCTTAACGACTGAGCCACCCAGGCTCCCCAATGTGAATTTGTTTTACTAAAATTTTACTAAAGTTTCTAGAGTGAATTTGGAACTGTAATATATTTTGTTTTTATTTTAGTTTTTCTTTTGTTTTTGTTTTAAATAGACTCCATACCCTACATGGGTCTTGAATTCCAAACCCGAAGATCAAGAGAGCATGTGACTGACTGAACCAGCCAGGGGCCCCTGTCCCTTATTTTTAAATACTTGAGCAAAAGACAAAAGGTTCTATTTCCTTTTTTCTTATTGGAACTAAGTCATAGTCTGTGTCCACAGAGCTCAGGAAGACTCAGCACCACAGGAGCCTTGCAGCTGGATGGAGGATGGAGCAAAGAAAGCTCACACCCCTCCTTGTGGTGACATGCCCCAGTGAAACCACTTAAAAACAAAATTGAACAAAAATCAAAATGGCTCAATTTTTTAAGATTTTATTTATTTGGGCGCCTGGGTGGCTCAGTCCGTTAAGTGTCTGCTTTTGGCTCAGGTCATGATCCCAGGGTCCTGGGATCGAGTCCCGTGTCTGGCTCCCTGCTCAGCGGGGAGGCTGCTTCTCCCTCTCCCTCTGCTGCTCCCCCTGCTTGTTCTCTTTCTGTGTCAAATAAATAAATAAAATCTTAAAAAAAAAAAAGATTTTATTTATTTGAGAGAGAGCCAGAAACAGAGCAGATGCTTAACCGACTGAGCCACCCAGGTGCCCCACAAAGCTTGCTTTTAAAGCAACCTTTTCCTTCTCTTCCTCAAACCTCCCCTTCTCCCTGCTTAGCCTTTTGTTTCAGGAACCCAGTACCCCCCTAAAGACAGGAGAATGAGGATAGCAGCATACACAATTCCTGTAGAAACCAGCCAGATCCTGTATTTCCCTATAACCGCCCCCACCCCACCGCCCCTTCCTCCAGGAGGGCTCACAGATTTTTGAAGGCCAGAGACTGCTGCAGTCTCTTTTGCCCGGCAAAGCAAAAAAGCTATTGTTCTTCTTCATCCCAGATGGTCTATTTTGGCTTTCAGAATTCCTTATGGCACTCCCTCTTCCGTCCCAGGGTCCAGAACTTAGCCCCAGGGGCGGACTGTCCTGCCAGGGTGGGTGGGGAAAGGGAGAATGGATTCAGGCTGGTCGCATGCCCCTCGGAAACTCAAGGTTCCTGCTACTGCAAAGAAGGGGCCAGGTAACAGGGGACAATGATCAGTCCCTGGTGATGCAAGAAAGACGTGAGGGTCCGAGGCCAGCAGCCAAGAAAGAATTCTTGAGACGTCTTTGGTACAAAAAGGTGGTCTTATGAAAGCGCGGGGACAGGACCCGTGGGCCGGCACCAGGATCATGAGGATTGGCCCATGATATACTTACAAGGTGGGATGGGGGTTAGGGATAGTGTAAGCCTCCCAGGTATTTTGGAAACAAGGTTTCCAGGATCCTGAGGGGGTTAGCTATTGTTAGGAAAGGTCATTTATTACAGTTTAGTAGAAACTCAGTCATGAGACCCTTCAGATGTATATCGGTGGGCCATATGCTTAGGGGGTGATTGCCAACATGTATCTTGTATCTTGGGGGGGTTAGAGATAAAGGAAGTTTCCAAAGGAATTTTTATTTATTTTTTTTCTTTTTTTTTTTAAAGATTTTTATTTATTTATTCATGAGAGACAGAGAGAGAGAGAGAGAGGCAGAGGGAGAAGCAGGCTCCCAAGGAGCAGGGAGCCCAATGTGGGACTCGATCCCAGGACCCTGGGATCATGACCTGAGCCGAAGGCAGACACTTAACCATCTGAGCCACCCAGGCGCCCCCAAAGGAATTTTTAAATGTTAAGGTAGGCTTACAAGATCCTGGGTGGGGGGGTGGGGTCTGCCTAGGATTGTCTTCTGCCCTTAGCAAAGTGTCAACATCAAAGCAGTTGAGTCCCTTAGAAGAATGTCACTTGGCCTGTTTCAAGGACTTGTCGGTGGGCTATAGGTAGTAAGGAAATTTAATGATTTTTCTTCTGCCTTTGTTTCCCACATCACTTGGCACCTGTAAAACTAACTGCCGGCTCAAATCCTTGAAAGAATGTATTGCTGTGGGGTTAAAGAGTTGATTCCAATAAGATATTGGCCTCTAGCTGGGAATTCCGGGGAAAATAAGCCCTTATTTCCCCGGTTACGTGTGAAAAGACCATGTGCCCTTTTGAATTCAGAACTATTCAGACCTGTAACACAGCTGCTGCTCAGACTTTAATGTGCAGACGAATCACCAGGGCATCTTTTTGACATGCAGATTGCAATTCCTAATCCGGGCAGACCGCAAAATTTCTACCAAGCTCCTAAGTGAGACCAGTGCTGCAGGCCTGAGGATCGTACTTTGTGTAGCAAGGTACAGTACCCTGTAAGAGGTTGAATTGTGTTCACCAAAAAGATATGTCCAAGCCCCAACCCCCAGTACTTGTATATGCAACCTTATTAGGAACTAAGTTCTCTGCAGATAAAATTAAGACATAAATGAGGTCTATACTGGATTAGTGTGGGCCGTAATAGAAGAGAGGTGTCCTTATAGAAGAGAGGACACACAGATCTGCACAGGGAAGGAGGCTATGCAGACACGGAGGCAGAGAGTGGGGTGGCGCTGTTATAAGCCAAGGAGTGCCAAGCTTGCCAGCATCCACCAGAAGCTGGAAGAGGCAAGGAAGCATCCTCCCCTGGAGCCTTCAGAGGGGAGCATGGCTCTGCCTACACCTTGGATTCAGACTGCTAGCCTCCAGAACTGGGACAGAATATATTTCTGTTTTTTTAAGCTCTCCAGTTTGTGGCAATTTGTGATGGCAGCCCTAGGAAACCAACACCCAGCCTTGACCTGGTCTGTGTATGGGTTGGAAGATGCTCTCAGGGTTCTGCCTGATCAGTATTGTGTTACCTTTCATTTCCTTCATCCCCAAGGCAGCATTCTCAAAGTATAGAGCAACGGCTTAGGATCTTCATTGAAAACCCAGGATATGGGCACCCCTCTACCCATGGAATCAATATTCCTCAACAGTGGGCCCAACATTAGCTTGATTGGGGTGACAGGCTCTGTACTTCATGTTCTGCAGGGGAGGCAGGCTCACCGTGTGCTGTGGATTCAAGGCCAACATGCCTGAAAGCTGCCTCTCCACTTGAGGTCTGCCCTAAAATCCCAGTGTCAAGACCTCAATCCTTTAGCTAAAGGGATAAAGGATTAAAAAGCAGATGCCTTGGGGCACGTGGCTGGCTCAGTCAGTAGAACATGTGACTCTTGATATCAGGGTAGTGAATATGAGCCCCACATTGGGTGTAGAGATTACTTAAAAAAAAAAAAAAAGTAGATGCCATTGAAATTGAGCCATATGCTTTTTTTTTTTTTTTTGAGACCTCTTGATTTATTCAGCTTATTTAATATACAATGACACAACGGTGACCCAAAGTGTGCAAAGTTAAAGCCTTCGACTGCAGCTGAGAGGAGAGGGCAGGAATGGTACACCTGGGGATGATGGTGAGTCAGGAATGATGGGCAGCCTCCTCCCCAGGGCCAGGGATGGGGGGAGTGGCCTGAAAAGGCGGGTCTGGGTAGCCTAGGGCCAGGGGAAGGGGGCAGAGATCTCCCTCTGGCCTGGGTCAGGAGTCCGGAAGTGCGGTTTCTTGCATTCATCCAAATTCCTACATCTCTATCTTGGATCACTTCATGCAAATACAATTTAACAGGTCTCCGTCCTACGAGGTAAACAGCGGTACTTCGCTTAGACACTGGTCAGTGCTGGGACCTCGTTGGAGAGCATGTCCGGCGGAAGCTCTTAGCAGTCATTCAGACTTGAGTCTGCGAAGGGCAGCTGTGCGTAGGTGAAAAGACCTGCCACGCTGCCCACTTAAGCCATCTGAACCTGTTTCCTCTTCTGTTCAATGGGGACGGTGACACCTGACCCTCCTACCGGGCAGGGGCTGTTGTGTCCCCCACAGAGCTACAGGGAGTAGAATCTAGTCCCTGAGAGGGAAGCAGCCCGGAAGACAGGACGGGAGCTCGCTGGCCGTGCTGGGCCCGGTGAAACAGCCTGCTTCTCGGTTTGCTCACAGCCTGCACTGGGGTGGTGTTTTGGAAACTGGATTAATTAACTGTGACTGACTTGGATGGCTATCCTTTTTTTTTTTTTTTTAAGTTTATTTACTTATTTAAGTAATCTTGGCACCCATCGTGGGGCTCAAACTCACAACCCTGAGATCAAGAGTCACACGCTCTTCCAACTGAGCCAGTCAGGCGCCCTGGTTGCCTCTTCTTTTTTATTATTTGCTTGGGGGTGACTCTTTTGTTCTGAGTAAAATTACTTTAAGAATTCAGAATAATCAGCCTCTATAGATCTTTCAGAACACATTTAAAAATGCAGTTTTCCTCTCCTGTCGTTCTCCCTTAACTCCCAGAATCCACTGAATTTTGAGGGAGTTTGAGAACAATGTAGCAGATGTCAGTCGGGTCCCTGGGAAACTTAAGTGCAAATAAGTCTTTAAAAAACCAGGGGCACAACATACGTATCCTTTGGGTAAATACCTAGTAGTACAATTGCTGGGTCCTAAAGTAGCTCTATTTTTAACTTCTTGAGGAACTTCAGTACTGTTTTCCGGAGTGGCTGCACCAGCTTGCATTCCCACTAACAGTGTAAGAGGGTGATCCGAAGGGGCACCTCATCCCAGTGTTTATAGCAGCAATGTCCACAATAGCCAAACTATGGAAAGAGCCCTGATGTCCATCAACAGATGAATGGATAAAGAAGATGTGGTGTATGTATACAATAGAATATTACGCAGCCATCAGAAAGGATGAAATCTTACCATTTACATCGACATAGATGGGACTGGAGGGTATCATGCTGAGTGAAATAAGTCAATCGGAGAAAGACAATTATATGGTTTCACTCATATGTGGAATTTAAGAAACAAAACAAAGGATCATAAGGGAAGGGAGGGAAAAATAAAATAAGATGAAATCAGAGAGAGAGACAAACCATAAGAGACTGTTAACCATAGGAAACAAACTGAGGGTTGCTGGAAGGGGGGGTAGCTGGAGTAACTGGGTGATGGGCATTAAGGAGGGCATGAGATGTAATGAGCACTGGGTGTTATATTGATCCCACGACCATGAGATCATGTCCTGAGCTGAAACCAAGAGTCAGTGGCTTAACTGAGCCACCAAGATGCCCCTGTAAGACCAACACAGACTCACTCGTAGGGACACATTGTTTATAGCAAGGAGGTTCTGCAGAGGAGTGAGAGAGGGTACTTCCACGTAAGTGGTTCAGGGTCAACTGGTTACCATATGGGAAATAAATTCATCTTTACTCTTACCTCACACCATAAACATAAATCAATACCAGGCAGATTTTAAAATAAATGTGGATGTTTCAGACAATAATCTTTCTAAAAGATACCTTAGAAAATAATTTCAAGATCTTGGGGCCAGCAAAGATTTATTATAATGTGGAATGTACTAACCATAAAGAAAAAATGGATTAATTGAGAGTTATTGAAATGAATGACTTTATTTCTTTTAAGATTTCATTTATTTGAGAGAGAGAGAGAGCATGAGCGGGAGAGGGATGGAGGGAGAGGGAGAAGCAGACTCCGCGCCGAGCAGGGAGCCCAACGTGGGGCTCGATCCCGGGACCCCAGAATCACAACATGAGCTGAAGGTGGACTATCAACTGACTGAGCCACCCAGGTGCCCCGAAATGGATGACTATTATTATCAAAAGACACCTTCAGGAGAGTAAAAGAAGCAGGCACAGAGCAGGATAAACATTTGCCATCTATTCATTGGACAGAGGACTCATATCTGGGATACGTACCTACCATAAATTTATCAAAATAGAGACAATCCACCAGAACACATGGGCATAAGATCTGATGAGGCATTTCCCAAGAAAGATAACCAAGTGGGACTAAGTGTATGAAAAGGTGTTCCACATCATTCCTTCTCAAGAAAATGCAAATGGAATCCCCAGGGAGATACCGCCACACAGAGACCACATTGGTGAACTATCCACCCTGGGCACACCTCGTGTTGGTGAGGAACTCGCACAGCACAGATGTGTACCTGTGTGTGGACAGGGCTCCGAGCAGCATTCTTCTGCCTGGCCGCACAATGGAAACAACCCAGCAGCAGCCTGGGTAAATAGAGTGACATGTCTTATGGTGGAATAGTATACGGAAATAAAAATCACCTAGAGCCACATTGAAGAAGACACTGCAAGTATGAGTCCCAGACCGTTGGTGTGTGTGCTTTGCTCCAACCTGCAAACCCAATCACACGATGATAAAGTGCTTTTCTGGTTAGTCCCAAGGCCCAAGGTGCACAGCGGTGGTCACCAGACTCTGGCATCATGGGGCACAGATTCATATCCTGGATCTAACCTCTTCCTTTCTGGAGACTGTGGCCAACTGATGAACTTTGGGATTCAGTTTTTTCATGGGTCAGATTTGATACCTCTGTCTTCCTTAGAGGATTAAGTCCTCGCTGGTGCCCAGCAGGAACTCCATAGAAATGTTCTTATGTTTGTTCTTGCTCTTCCTCCCTCCCTCTCGGGCTGGGGAGATGGTAGATGGTGGCTTGTGACAGAGAGAGGAGCAGGATGGGGATGGAGTCCACATGTCTTCCAGGGGAGGGGCAGGGAGAAGAGCCTGGGGCCTGGGGCCTAACACCCTCCCCATCTCAGCCTGGGTGGCCAGAGAAGGGCCAGCCTTGGGCTCTGTGGGCATTCCCAGGCCCTGGTCCAGGCTGTCCGCCCCCTGGCGGGATGAGGTTTATGTGGGCACCAAGACCAAAGGTTCCCAGGACGCAGCTTCAAGGTGCAGCCTCCGGGTCAGGTGGGCCGCGCGGGGTCCTGCAGGCCCTGGGTTCGATTCCTGGCTCTGCCCTCTGTTGGGTGCAATTGGGCAAGTCTCCTGAAGCCTCAGTGTTCCCATCAGCAGCATGGAACAACGATCCCTCTTTCCCCATGGAATTGTCAGGGGGACTCAGTGAGGTAACACACGTGGAGAAGAGTGGACAAGGAGACCGGGGATGTGCTAGACTGCAGACAGTACCTCACCTCAGTTTTCCATGAGAGGGAGACTCTTCACTGCTGGAGGCCTGTCCTAAATAAACAAGGACCAAGGTCGTAGATGGTCCCTGCAGCTCCATGATGCAAGTAAAACAGCGGAAATGGCCCCTGTTCCAGAGCCGGGGCTCTTGGGACATTCTTTTGCAGAGACACAGAAAAAGCAAGGGAGGAGGGGGATGGAGGGGCCAGCATCCACCCCTGGGGAAAGCAGTTTCCAGAAAGAGCCACACTCCGGCACCCGCCCCACCACACATGCACAGCTGCACACGCAGATGCCCCTGACATACACATGCGTGCTCTTCTGGGAAGGGGGTGCATGCAAAGCGACCCCCACAGGCTGAGGGAGCTGGGAGACTGAAGAAAAGGAGACAAGTCCTGGTGACAAGAAATGGTTTCTTCTGGTGACTTAAGGACAGAAGGACGTCTTGGGCACCACCAGACCCCAGTCCATCTCCACAACCCCGCCTCTGATAGGACCTGTTCTCACAGCCCTGGCAGGACGCCCAGGAGGAGGATGTGGGAGAACAGGTGTGTGTCCCCGTTCTATCTCCAGGGCGGATGGAGGACCTCATCGCCAGAGGATGGCCTTAAGGGTGTGGCTAAACGGAAAGAAAGAATGTGGCGGGGAGAGGCGGGCGGGGGGGGGGGGGCGTGCTCCTGAGGCTGAGGGCACAGGGCGGTGTCAGGGCGCATTTGTCCAGATGGCGTGAGTCTGCTTCCCACGGGGACACACAGGGACCCGCAGGCAATTGTGGGACGGGACACGGGGACAGGCACACTTAGACATGGGGAGAGAAGGGGGAGGCCTGGAAAGGTGACCACCCCCTGTGAGGACTCCCCTGGGTGGGAGGCTTTGCTACTTTCATTCTAGACTGCTTTTCTTCATTTTACTACAGTAAACATCGTCCTTGTAATAAATCCTTGAAAATGAAAACTGAATAATGTACTTGGCTCGTGGATGACTAAGACATGGAGAACATTTAACCTATGACTTGACTCTTTTTGGAATTACACAATTACATTTTACATAAAACCTGGAAACACCACCTAAGGGAGCAGAAGAGGCATCTGCAAGTCCCACCCCGAGGTGACCATCAGGACGGCTTTTGTGCACATCTCGTCTCTGGCTCTTTCACATTTGCACACCTCTTTCCATCCAGGTGTGTCTCCCTGTTGTTATCACATCTGTGTTGACATCACATCCGTGTCTCCCTGTTGATATCGCATCATGTCTTACAGGTGGGGTCCTGGATGCAGATGGTGGGTCCACGTGTCTTGGGCGAGAGGACCCCGAGGTGTCCCTCTGGGCGCAGAGACCTCGCACCTGCGTTAGCGCTGCCCGGTTCTCTCCACCATGTGCACCAGGACGGTGGGTCCCATCCATCTCTGTGGGCTTTCGTGTTCCGATTCCCTGCTCTCTCCACCACCGCTGTGCTGAATACTCGAAATACCCCTTTGAAAAACCGGGCCAGAGTTTCCGTGGGTGGGTCCGAGACCGAGCACTGCTAGGTGATGGGCTCACCCACGGACTGGGATGGGTGCTGCTCACTGTTCTCCCGGACAGGGGTGCCCATTACCCTTCTCTCCGGGGGACCTGCAGGGGACCTCCGTGTCCTCAGGCACCTGAGGGCGACCCAGCCCAGGAACTCACTTTCTCCAGCAGAGGACAAAAGGGGCATCTTTCTCTGGCCCGGAATATGAACCCTGATCCCGGGATAGGAGAGCTCTCTGGGACTCCTCACCCAGCCAGAGAGCCGCGGCCACCGTGTATGTGATGGAGCCAGAGCGACGGGGCCCTGGAGGGACTGTGTGCTACCAGCCGTGTGCGGGGCAGTGAGGGAGCGGCAGCCCCTGCTTCTTGGGGGGCCGTGATGTGTGCGGAAAGAAGGGGGCTGGGGTGGAGTCTTCAAAGCCACACCACAGTCTCTCCCTTGGTCCTGAAAGCTGCAGGAAGGGAACTCCGAGGGCGGAGACCAGGCTCCAGGAGGATTCCCATCCAGGGAAAGGGGGCCCACTGGAGGGCACTGAAGCCGCCAGCCCCACCGGTCCACAGGCCATTTGCACAGGATCACCTCCTGCTCTTCCTCTGCACGTTGTCCGTGTTCGTGTGCGGACAGTCATCGGCCCACTCAGTGCTGGTGCACTTCCAGAGGTGGGCTAGAAACCTTCCAGTGCCTGCTCATGGGTCAGAGGACCCTGGCCCAGAGAAGCAGAGGATGTCCCTCCTCCTCCGGAGCTGGGGAAGACAGCCACCATCCTGGGGCAGGACCAGGTCAGGTGTGTGTTCTTTCTGAAGCCTCCGCCTTCAGTGGGCATTGCTGTGCCTGAGAAAGGCCCCCTCAGCCCAAGTCGGGAGCAGTGAGGGGCTGTCTCTGGCCCTGGCCCAGGATCACGACCCAAAATGATCCTGTCTTTGGGAGGACGGGTCTCCTTCAGGAGCCAGGGAGGGGACCGGCCCCTCTCCCCTCCCCAGGTCCAGGAGGCCAGGGACCCTGCAAGAGCTCTTCATTTGAGGAGGAGTCATGGAGAGTGTGTGTGTCATCAGCCCAGTAAGCGAAGGAACCAAACCCCAACACTCAGGTTCTAACAGAAGCAGGATTTTTATGTACTATTCAAGTCTAGATTTACTGTGTACAGCAAGACTTCTTGGCCTTCCCCACTAGGTAAGTAGGCGCTGGTCTCTCTTACTCGAGAGACCCCAGGGAAAGTCTTCCCTGTTCTCCTTCTGTCAGAGGGAGGAGTTGGCCCTGTGCTCCCAGGGGCCCCCACTGTGTCCCCACTGCTGAGGAAGAGCCCCAGTGACCTGGTGTCAGGAGTGTGGTCTGCCACTGCTCCTGGGCTCTGAGCCAGGGACCTGGAGGCTGCACGGAAGGGCTGGATTGCTTTGGGGGCGGTGGGGGTGGGGCTCATTGGCAACACCACTCACTATCCCCCACTGCGCTCCACAATCCAGGCTCTGTGCCCAGCTTAGGTCAATCACCAGCACCCCACATGTTCCTGCCATGGGAGTGATCCCTCAGCATCACCCCATTGCACAAAGGAGGAGAGCGAGGCCCAGAGAGGGGAGGCAAATGGCTCCAGTCCCAGGGCTGCTCAGCAGAGGAGCCGGAAGGCCAGCGCTCCCGAGCCCCCGCTAGCCCAGCCAGACTCCCTGAGCCGAGAGTGAGCCCTCGCCTGCCTGCCCAGCCATGCTCGGGCCCCTGAGCTTCATGATGGCCTGTTCTCCTTGGCCCTGAAGGTGTTGCTGGCCGACTAGGAGAGGAAGTCCTGCTCGTGGGACAGGCTGGAGCTACAGGACAGAGTGACACGGCTGAGCTAGCAGGAGCCACACCCTGGTCTCCCTACCGGACCCTGCCCGGGAGCTGGAGTCTGGGTGCCCTAGGGGCCAGCACGCAACAGGGTCTGCGCTGACCAGGGAGCCAGGGCCCCCAGGGAGAGTCCACTCTGCCCTCTCCCGCTCCTTCCCGGCCTCACCTCTCCTCACTGTGGGGTTGCAGGACCTGGAACCAGGCCCCATAGGGCTGCTGGGGCTCCAGCATGGAATGATTGTGCAGCCCCCGGAGCACCTGGATTTCCTGGGGCTGGAGGGAGGACTGGCTGCACACAAGGACTGGGCTGGGGAGGATGTGGGGCCTTGTGGGGGTGTGGGGCCTCGTGGGGGGTGCAGGATGGGGCAGGGCCCAGGCCTAGGGTCACTGCTCATATCTAAAAAGGGGTAAAACCCCTGAATGCCCACAAGGCCCCTAATTACAGTAACAACCCCCTCACATGCGGGCATCCTGGTGGTGGGCCCCTCCGCCCTGGCCTCCTTCCCACCCTCTGACTCCAGCCAGGGACAGGCTGGACCTCCGTCCCAGGGTCCTGCCAGGAAGACAAGGCAGAATGAGTAGAGGAGAACGGGAAGGAGTGGACTGATCTTCCCCCTGCCCAGAGTCAGTCTCCACTGTTGCCTCCAGGTCCCCTGGCCCACCATGCACTTAGCTGGACCCTGGGTTGGAGTCTGGGTGGGGGCGCCTTTCGTCCCCAGATGTCCAACCTGCCTGGCCTTGCATCCTGAGGCTTGCCGCCCGGGGCAGGAGGGACATGGCTCCAGAGCTCAGGAGACTTTGGGGCCACAGAGCACTTGGCAGTGGTGAGGGAACATGGGGACCAGCCAGGCGTGGAGGCATTGGCTTTGTGCACGTCAGCCGCAGGGCTGGGTCGTGGTACAGGTGTGGTGTGCAGGTCCCCTGTGCACACCTGGCCGTGACACACCTGGCTGGCCCTCTCGGTGGGGAGGTCTGTGTGCCTGGTGCCCCTGTTCCCCACCTACCCCGGGAGAAGTGGCCACGGTCCTGCATTTCCATGTCCAACCCTCGGGGACAGTGAGAACCTGAGGTCAAGAGAGGCAGGGACTGGCCCAGGACAAATGAGGGGTGCAGAGTCCAAGGAGCAGGGCTGCTCTCCAGTCCTAGGCCAGCCTCAACCCTCCCATGAGGTTCGCTTTGGGGGTGAGAGCCCCTCAGATCCTCAGGGATAGCTACGCAGCCCATCACATGTGAGGACATGACCTTGGGCATCCCCAGGCAGGTAGATGCATGCTCACCTACACACACAGAGAGAGAGAGAGAGAGAGAGAGAGAGAGAGAAGGGGAGTACACCCTGGGAGGGGACTTGGTAACAAGGGGGAAAGAAAAAAGAGGTCAGAGACAGCTGGGCCATGGGGCAGGGGCATCAGGACTCCTGGCAATAACCCAAATTTATAGCATGCAGAGGGGACACATGCCAGGCTGATGGTCAGGGGGTCCCCAAGTTGCCCAGGGGGGTTGCCAGGGCACTAGGAGAGGACGGGGTCTGGTGTCCGGTGTCCACCACCACCTTGCGCACCTGGAATTAGGAAGAGATACCCCCCTAGTGCGGAGGGGGCTCCAGCACAAAAGGTCTCAGCTTACTCTTCTGTCAATTGGGCTATATAGACGGGGTATCCATAGGGTCCCACAGGCTTATAGAAGAGTCTGTTGGCTTTGCATCTCCATCCTTGACCCACTGTGCTCCCAGTCCTGGGAAAATGCTTTGTACTCCCTCGAGGTCCTTCTTCTTTCTTTTTTTTTAAAAAGATTTTATTTATTTATTTGACACAGAGAGAGAGAGAGAGTGAGAGAGCACAAGCAGGGGAAGAAGCAGCCAGAGGGAGAGGGAGAAGCAGGCTTCCTGCTGAACAGAGAGCCCGATGAGGGGCTCGATCCCAGGACCTGGGATCATGACCGGAGCCAAAGGCAGATGCTTAACCAACTGAGCCACCCAGGCGCCCCTCTCGAGGTCCTTCTGAGCAGAGGACAGCCTGAGGGTTTGGGGGTGCTGAGGACCTGGGTATGCATAACGTGGCAGAGCACTGGACCACTGGTCTGGGGACCAAGGTCAAGGCCCTCCTTGTTGCAGCCTCAGGGTCCCCATTTGGAGGGGGTTCCAGAGTCAGTGCTCTGGCCAGGGTGAGGAGGCCTTTATGAAGGAAACACGCACTAGGACAAGAGAAGGAAATGGGGACAGGGGAGGCTTCTGAGATGTCTCACATCACCCCTGGAGCCTAAGGTCCTGTTCCTGTGAGAGACACAGAGACAGAGAGAGAATGAACACAGGAGAGAGGAAACCAGAAGTCACAGACTTTCCTCAATCAGCTTGGAAATGACATCCCAGCATTTTGCCCCATTCTATTTCTGAGAGCGCGGTCACACAGGCCACCCACCCTGGAAGGGAGGGGATTCCACAGGGATGTGTGATCAGGATTCGGGAATGCCAGAACCACTGTGGAGACTGCCCAGCACATGGGTGCAGATGAGGCCCTGGGACCTGAGCCTAAACCTATCGGGAGCCCCTGGAAGTCTGTGTCATGAGGGGACAAGGTCTGAATCAGTTCATCCAACCTTCCCACGGGGGCTGGGAGACAGGCAGGAGGGCGGTGGCTT